CTTAATTGATTAAATCCTGATTTCATAACACAGCCAACTGGTAAATTTGCAAGGAGCAGGAGTGCATAGTGTTTGGTAGCTGTTAGTGAGATCTTAAATGTTTGACATTCACTCTAGCAAAAAGACCAGAAACAACAGTTACAGGTGATCAAGAAGTTTTCAAAAACAAACAGAAACTTATAAATATTGGTGTAATGTGGGCACTCTGCAATGACAAATGTAAAAATTCAATATATTCAATTACAGAATTTCAAGTGAGTGGTTATCATTTTATTCTAATAAAAGTGTCTAAGCTGTAAATAGCAATAGAAATGTGAAAATAGTAAATCAAACACAGTTAAATGCTCAAAATGTATTACAGTTCCTCCTTCATATACTATAAGCCTTCTAATTTATTGATATCAAATTTCTTCAGTATACCAAGAAAAGGACAAAGATTTTGCTTGAAATCTTAAGATTGCATTTAAGATAGAGCAGTAAATATTCTCTCTCTGGACGCTTAGAGAATTTTAAAACATTCCATCAGATTAAAATTACTGAGAATTAGCCTTTTGCTTGTATTTTATTCATTTTTTTGGAAGAGTGGATAAGTAACCCATAAAGGAAAAGACTCTAGTTCTTGAATTATGCAAATATAAAGGAGAAGTATCCTCAACTTGACCCTTCAGTTGCCAAATTTTCCTGTTGTCCTTCTGACAAGTACCCAATTTTGCCTCCAGCACCTTCTCAGAAGCTCACCTCCCTGAAGTACCAAAATGCCAAATTCTCCTGGGCCCTACAAGACAGGTTCATTAGTTCCAGCTACCAAAAATCTCCAGCCCCACTCCATAGTCTTCAATAGGACAATCAATAGTAAGAGAAGTGTAACTATTTGCAGGCAGTCAGCCCCCAGCACAAGTGATTTTTAAACATTTCTGGTAGCCCTACTGCTCTATTTGAAAATTGCATACAAATACTTAAAAAAAATAACTAGTATGGCATATTAACCCAGATAGCCATGAAGAGCTAGGGCGGCCCCCAAATGCACCGATCTCTGGAGCCTAATTTTAAGACTTAAAAGAAAATGAAAAACACACTTTAGATTATTTTCTTTGTTCTACTTATTCTCATTATGTGCTTTTTGGCTGGTGGGAACTTCAGCAACATCCTGGCATTCTTTGTATTCTGTTTTCAAAATTAATAACATGGAAATCACAAACTCCACATTCAGAAAACCAGAGTGGAAAACAGCCCTGATCTTGAACCTTTAACTAAAGCCAAATCTTAAGTCAACATTGCACTATTGAACAAACATCTGAAACAGTTTTCGTGACTCAAGGCGGATTGTCATTGATAACTATTCTCTGTGATTGATAGTTATCCTGGTCAATAGTAAAAAAAAATCAATACATATCATTCCATTTTCAGCTTCAATAAAGTTGTAACCAGAAGGGAAAATCTTCATCCCTTTCCTTGCTTTATAAAAAAACCCACTGACATAAGTTTACTCAAAGGGTTTGAAATGAAAATCAGATCATTTTCCCTTTGCCCCACAGATCTCCACATATTACTGAAAATCACAAACGTCACTGAACTTCAGTGAAGCAGGAGCACTACCGACTGTGTAGATATATTAAGTTCTGGACAGACTGAACTGTTGACCTTCTTTACCACTAAAATATCAGTTAATGATAAAGCTCAGCTGTTAAGAGTTACTTAGAAGCACCAGGCAACGTAACAGAACAATTTCTAACGTACAATTGCTAAAGCATGCTAAATGGACAATTTAAAAATACAGCATATTTTATTTCAGCTTAACACAGGAAAGACAGATTGCACACATGCTCTGATGCCAGATGATATCCTCAAAAGGAAAATCTCACAGGAAGACACCCTTGCTTTATTGCTCAGTTAGGTGTTAGGATTGCTTCCTATTAAAACAGCATCACACTTCCTTTTATTTTAAAATGCTTATGTGAGCAATAATACAGCATAGTTATACTGCAGGAATCACCCACTTCAGGTGCATTGTGAGGAATGAGATGAGGACAAGTGCCCTCAGTCACCAGAGGCATGTAATTACCTCTCACCATATATATCTTGGAGCACATTACTGCTCCTAGCAAATAGCTATAACCTGCTTAAAAATGAAAACAAGACTGGACCTGTGCACCAAGGAAGGGTCATTTTAAAAAGAAAGTCTAGTTCTGATTAGTGTGGTTTATATTCTCATCCTAGTTATTTAAAAATACTCAGCTATATCATATGTATGTCGGCTGAGTATTTAATTGCCCACATATGGGTGTGATCTGGTATATTATATTTTCAGTATAACGCAGTCACTAAATTTAAGCATAGGAAAAATCATCTATCAAATTCCAGCTACACAAATAATTTAATTAATTTTGTCTGGCACCTTATAAAAGTCCTCCAGAAATCATTGGTCACTGTTTAAACTCACTGTTCAGAAGACGCAACTGATAACTGATAACCTGATAACTACATCAGATGCTTGATGCCCAAACTTGTGCAATCGTACCTCAAATTCCACAAAATGTGAGATGTTCTGAAGTGAAACACAGTCTAATAGATCAATAGCGTATTATTCCGAAATGTCATGGCATTTGTAAATTCTAAACCAACAATGTGTAAAAATCATCTTCAATCTCCTTCCAAAATAAAGCAACTGTTTAGTCTTGTGGTAAAATAGCCAATAGCATTTTACTAACATATTATTCCTGATAATTCAATGTTACTTATCACCAGTACTTAGAGCATAAACATTTAAAACCCATCCAGTGAACGTTCAGTAATGTGTTTCTTATCCACACAGAAAAGCGAGGTAGTTTCACACTGACATATCAAATACAGTGACTGGAAATAAATGATATTACGTGGGTAATCCATTATAACTTGTTTCAAAATTGAACCTAAAGCTTACAAAACATACAGAAAGACAGAACTGACAAAAGGGGAGTAAAGATAGCTGTCTTAATAATAAGCAGTCTTGTCTGAAACAAAAACTAGAATTTTCCAGAACAAGGTACTGCAGCTAGTGGAATATAATACAGCACAGTAAGCCACTTGACAAGCGTAGTAACACTGACAGTCACCAAGCTAACACTACTAGCAAAGGATATATCACACTGCTCGCTATTTCATTATTGGCTTTATTCTTGCTTTTTAATTTTTTTTTTTTTGAAGAGGCTGATATTGTGTTGTTTGCTTTCTAACAGACACACACTTCAGATAGATTTTTATACTGATTTTGCAAGTTTTAAAATGACCACATAGTTGCAAAAGCCCAAATGAAGCCCTCCTGGAAGAGAAATACCTGTCTTCACTATTATGGAAGATGGATGAATGGAGCAAAGACCTGGAAATCATATTCTAATCTGGATCCTGTCAATGACTCACTATATTACCTGGGGAAAGTAACTTAACCTCCCAGGGCCTACAGTTGCTATCTTTCATTAAAAAATAGGTACCTGTGCTATTGTGGCATCAAAACCACTGCAACCTATATTGCTTATTGTTTTGATGTTTTAATATTCAAATCAATCATTACTTGCACAAATGTTTATCACGTTAAGTATTATTTTGATCAGTCATTCCAACAAACTCATCAAGAATATATATTTTATTTTTTATAAATGTGTGTATTTTCATGCTTTAAAAAGTATACCACTTTGCTTCCCTTAAATTGGCTAGCTAAAGGGATGTCAGGCCTCTAATATACCATGACCTCTCTCCTCTTATCTTTTTCATATTAGGCAGCCTTAGTTTTTCACATATTAGGAACAAGAAAGTATACCCAACTGATGTCTGGGAAGAGATTCTAGGTTGTGTCGCCTTAATAAAGAAGCTGCTTCAAAATTTCTATACTATATTTTTGGAGCAATGTCTAAAATATTTAAGAGAATTGAACTGACACTTTAATCTAGACTAGACTTCAATAGCTGTTATCTGACCTGAGACAGACGCATGAATCCTTTCACTTTTCAAGAGAGGTATATAGTAAATTAGAAATAAGATCGCCTATTTCAAAATTGCCTGCAGTTTCAGAATTGCTTTAGGCTGAGAGCTTGTTTGTTTAGGGAATTAAATAAGCAGAATGCTTCAGCTCCCAAGAAATGCAGTGTTTAGTTTCAAAATAAAACAGTATCAATACAGATGGTCTAATTTTCTGGAATATAAACTCACTGACCTGGTCAAGTTGAGCACACTTATGACATTAACTCCTAACTCTGGCGTTGACCTTTTTCCATAGTCACTGAACAGAATGATCACACATACTAAAACAAGCATTAGAATAACCAGTCCAGTTGGAATCCAGGCCTAATTTGTGAATGGAGATTTCATTCTAACACTGCTCTCACCACTATATAAATACAGAAGACTTAGAATTAAGCAATGTGACTGTCATTTCTTACTACATTTTAAAGTAATTTTGAATAGCATGTTTACCAGCTTTTTTGTTTACATTTGTCTTAGCCGGGCTTGTCAGCTGACACATCCTGGCCAGCCTCTCTCAGCTCGCTCCTTTTCTGCCAGGGCATCTTTTTAACTTATCAGGGTCTTGCAACCTTAGCCTTGGGAGACTAAAGCACCCTAGGTCTCCATGAAGCCAGCTAGGTAAATTCTCTCACCAATTGATGGCTCAGCCATTGTTTTAACACCACTGAAGTTGGGTACTGGAGAGGCTGTTTTGGTAACTGTTTTACCTTTCCTGAGTTCCTTAACAGCCCTCCATTAGATCGTCCTTTGATTTAACTATACGCATTCAGACATTTTGTCACAGCTTCCTAGCTTCCACGATCAATAAATGGAAGCTTAAGTAAATTGACCCCAACAAGGTGGCACAAACAGAATATGGGGGCCAAGCTGGGATAAGAGCTTTCAGACCTTTGGTGGTACTGGGGAAAGGAGAACAATTGCTATAGTAACACCATCATTACAGTGAAAACAAACTGCCAAAAAAAAGAGAGAGAGAGAGAGAGAGAAAGAAAGAGAGACCTCACCTGCACATTTGGTTCTGGTGATAAGCGGTGGTCCTGGCTGGCCTGTTCCTCCTTCTCCTGGCCTGGTAAGGAGGACACGAATCTCATACTCAGTGTCTGGGTCTAAGTGCCATAGCTTATAAGTTGGTGCATTTACAGCATGGGTTTCTGTCCAGGTCCCAGATGTCATCCGGTACTCCACTTCTTTCAGAATTATAGGCCCATCACCAATTATGGAATTAGCATTCAGCTGAATCAGCAAATATGTAGGCCCAACACCAAGTAACTGGGGGGGTGCTATTGGTCGAGGTGGTTCTGTAAAAAATTCAAAAATACACAGTGAATAAAACCAAACTTAGAAAGATCATAATATTATTAATATATGTACAGCTAAATATTATTAATATATGGACACCTCTTCCAACAAGAAGTGTCATTCTGCAGTTGTAGAGATGCCAGAACTGAATGGACTATAAGGTGGATAAAAAGTTGGCTAGATTGTCGGGCTCAACGGGTAGTGATCAATGGCTCTATGTCCAGTTGGCAGCCGGGATCAAGTGGAGTGCCCCAAGGGTCGGTCCTCGGGCCGGTTTTGTTCAATATCTTCATAAATGATCTGGAGGATGGTGTGGATTGCACCCTCAGCAAGTTTGCAGATGACACTGAACTGGGAGGAGAGGTAGATATGCTGGAGGGTAGGGATAGGATACAGAGGGCCCTAGACAAATTAGAGGATTGGGCCAAAAGAAATCTGATGAGGTTCAACAAGGACAAGTGCAGAGTCCTACACTTAGGAAGGAAGAATCCCATGCACCGCTACAGACTAGGGACCGAGTGGCTAGGCTGCAGTTCTGCAGAAAAGGATCTAGGGGTTACAGTGGACGAGAAGCTGGATATGAGTCAACAGTGTGCCCTTGTTGCCAAGAAGGCCAATGACATTTTGGGATGTATATGTAGGGGCGTTGCCAACAGATTGAGGGACGTGATCGTTCCCCTCTATTTGACATTGGTGAGGCCTCATCTGGAGTACTGTGTCCAGTTTTGGGCCCCACACTACAAGAAGGATGTGGAAAAATTGGAAAGAGTCCAGCGGAGGGCAACAAAAATGATTAGGGGACTGGAACACATGAGTTATGAGGAGAGGCTGAGGGAACTGGGATTGTTTAGTCTGCGGAAGAGAAGAATGAGGGGCGATTTGATAGCTGCTTTCAACTACCTGAAAAGGGGGTCCAGAGAGGATGGATCTAGACTGTTCTCAGTGGTAGCTGATGACAGAACAAGGAGTAATGGTCTCAAGTTGCAGTGGGGGAGGTTTAGGTTGGATATTAGGGAAAAAAAATTTCACCAGGAGGGTGGTGAAACACTGGAATGCATTACCTAGGGAGGTGGTGAAATCTCCTTCCTTAGAAGTTTTTAAGGTCAGGCTTGACAAAGCCCTTGACGGGATGATTTAGTTGGGGACTGGTCCTGCATTGAGCAGGGGGTGGACTAGATGACCTCCTGAGGTCCCTTCCAACTCTGATATTCTATGATTCTAACTGGGAAGCAAAGCCAGAACAATACAGCATTAAGATCAAGAGGCTATACTCTCAGTTTTTATTATTCAGTGTAGGTCTACGGAAGTCAATAAGCTATATTTATTTATTCCATCTGAGATTCTGGCTCCGGGACTGTGCTGGTTTATAAGACCCTTTTCTGGTAACATTTCCTGAACTATTGTGAATCACTTCATGATAATTCATGTATTTTATAAGACAAAAAAAATTGGGATTTTGAATTTCAAAACCAATTCATTTTATTTTATTGAGAGAAGCTATGAACAATTCCTGCAGTAATAGCTTCAGTGTCACGTTCCACTGCCCCCTTGAGAGCGTCTCCAAAAAAAAATCATTGCAGTCCATTTCAAACCTGCCAAATTCAGTGTAGGGTGAACAATATGGAAATACATCAAAGCCTTTCAGAATGTTTAGAACTGGGCAATACTGACTGGATGGTGACAATGTAAAGATTTATAACAACAATGTATGGAATTATTTACGGTTCCTCAATTAAATAACTTATCCTGGCATACGTATGTCTGAAATGGGTACACAATGCAAACATCCCTCCTACCCCAACTTAATATAGCTTCGACAAAGTTGTAAAGTGAAAGTTAGCAACAGAGGACTGAAAAGGTTTAAGGGAAAAAAATCTATGAAATTTCTGCCTGTAATAGCACATTGCCTAGGAGTCATTTATTTTAAGAAACAACCAAAGGAACATGTATTTTTCCAATAAAATCAATCCACTGATAAACACAAAAGGTTCATTTTCATTCCAGATGGCATATATTTTGGCTAATTTGTTTCAGTTAATTAAGCAACAATGTTAAATTCAAGTCTCACAGGGGTTTCACACAGCAGTAGTGCAGAACCAAAACAGCAACTCCAAACAGGTAAAGACATCTGGTGGTAAGTACATAAAAAAGAAATCTAACTCCACCCCACTACCATCCTTCTATCCTGTCCCACAAAAAGAAAAACACAACACTTTTAAGAAAATGGAGTAATTAAAGTGTGGTTCTATCTTTGAAAAGTGACTATGTAAAAATTGTTAGTCAACACATCCTCACCCTGTGCTTATTCAGAACAATGATGACCCGAAGAGGATCTCTGCTGCTTCCAAGAACACCTTGTTAAATTCTATCGTCACTTTGAGGTGATGTTCGGGATGAGATTTCTTTGCCTCTGCATCTCTGCCAGAGATGACATTACTCTGGAGCTACTAGATATTTTTCTGGAAGTGTATACTTGCCATTTTTAGAAGGGATTAGATTGCCCAAATAGCTAGTATTTACAAAATTTTGCCAGGGAGGGATTTCCCATGAGCTTCCTTAGAAGGCCTGCACCCAAGGCACTCATCTCATGTTACACAATTTGAAAATTGTGCTCTCATATGCATTCATGGTATCTCAGAATGGGAACAGCTGGAATTCTTTTCATTCATCCTCAGTGACAAACCTAGGCCTGATTCAATGATGTGCACAAGTTCTACACAGTGTAGTTCAGGACAATCTGGACTCTAAGGTATCTGAACTAATTATTCATCTAAATCTCTCTTCTCCCCCCCTGATTTTCTGGCATAACCTAGGCATAAGCCACTTTGGATCTTTATCTGAATCAAACCTCAGCAAAGTAGCATAGCTTAATGAAAGCAGTTCATTTCCTGTGGAACATGCATATTAAATGGCAAACTAATGAATTTTAAGGTCAGTCTTATAGCAAACAACATAAACATTGTTGAGGATGATACACCACCAACTCTGAGTTCTGAAACTCTGCAATATGAAGCTATGTTTAGAAGTATATACTTTGATTAACAGCATGATTACTACAAGTGAAACTATGCATTCATGAGACTAATATACCACTGCATATTAAATTTTTATGTTCGATGTAAAGTGTATTCTTACATTAGCATATGCATTTTGTTTTTAAGCTCTTGAGGACAAAGACTTATTTAGAAAGTCTCTTCCAGTTCTAATAAATTATGCATGAATTTTAATCAGTTAGCAAACGAACTAGTAATTGTTCTGCAGCAGTATTAATATTCTTCATAACACAATGCACGATCAGATCCAGAGGTATGGGGCAACCAAAAATCCCTAAAGTACACTAAGAGTCAACTGAAGCATACAATCCCAATATACCAGATAAACTTTTTTGATGTTACCCAATTAACTTACTATTAATGATTCTCATTCATTATTCTATGACCAGATCTATCAAATATTCTCCAATTACCATTTCAAATTGTATAATTTGCTTTTATAGACTTAGTAACCTGAAAATGTTATGACTTGAAAAATAACACTAACAATTAGTGGGTGTGTTGAGACCATTATGATGTTGTGATATCACTTCCATTATGCTATTATCAGATTTATGCAACACTACCCAATCAATGGGCTCTCAGGTTGGAGTCACTGCATAAATCAGTACACAGTACAGCGATCCTGCAGGATAAGGGAGCATGTGGTTTTCTAGTCTGGTGGTCCAGTTCCTATAGAATAAGGAGCAATACTCTTGCCCAGTGAGCTGGGAAGATAGTTTGTCCAAATGTAAAGGTTTCAGGTGTGGTATAGAAAGAAATGAAGGTGATAAGCAAGAGGGGATCCCCAAACAAAGTTACCCTCTCAAAAAAGTTCACTCTGGGTAGAAGCATACAAGAATTTAGTCACAAGTAAATACTATTACAAAACCCCTTCACATAACACAAGAACTAGGGGTCATCTGATTAAATGAATGGGCAGAAGGTTTAAAACAAACAAAAGCAGGTACTTCTTCACACACCACATAGTCAACCTGTGGAACTCATTGCCTTGGGATGTGGTGAAGGCCAATACTATAAATGGGTTCAAATAAGAATTAAATAAGTTCATGGAAGACAGATCCACCAATGGCTATTACCCAACATGATCAGGGTGTCCCTAAACCTCCAACTGCCAGAAGCTGGGCCTGGACGATGGGATGGATCACTTGAAATTGCCCTCTTCTGTCCTTTCTCTCTGAAGCAACTGACATTGGACGCTGTCAGAGACAGGATACTGGGCTAAATGGTCCATTAGTCTGATCCAGTATGGCCGTTCTTATGACCAGAGAGATGCGAACTTTTCACAGCAAACAATTTTTTCACTGAATTTAGCTTTAGTCTTGAGTTGAAACTTATACAACGTTTTATGCACAAATCTTTCAACCTAGGGATTGTTCATGGGCTATTTCAATATGATCACAGAGTAGATATTTGTAACAAATTCCAAACTTTTCACATAGGTCACACATGGTAATTTCATTCCCTTCTGTGATGAGTGCAAATCTAGCAATCAGGTGTGAATACTTTCATTTGGAACTAAGGATAAGCTTTCCACAAATACTGTGTAGCCATTTTGGTGAACAATCCTGCCAGTGAACTTGGCTGCTAGAATGTCTGCAGAAAGAAAACATAAAAGGAGCACAAACTTCTAAAATGTGAATGTTCATGCATAATGTTTTGAAGTATTTGGCCAGATCAAAATGCCTAAAGCTAAGTTAATCACAAATTAAGACTGGCATTTCATCAGTATGACATCTCCATTTTGTCTATTAGTAATTCAGTATGTTCAAATCAGGATTTGAATGACATTATGAATTAAATGCACTGAGTTATTTAGACACCACTGAATAGAGTAGGCACAAAGCATCAACTTTAACTAATTTTTCTTGTTGTTAAATGTTGTGTCACATCCTTAACATTACACATAATGTGTTAATAATTATCTATCATGGGCAAACAAGCAA